GGCACAAAAGGGTTTTCAATATTCAGACGATCATTCAGTGGGACCATGGACAAGCACAGGATGCATCTAATGTCGAAAAATTTGGGAAGTTTGGAAAATAGGAAGCCTTGAGGTAAATGCCCGACAAAAGTTCGACTACCGAGTGGGTGAATTCCATTCCCTCAGACAGAAAAGGGATTGAAACAACACAATGTCGATAGCTGATGTATCGAACGGAATCATTTGTACGATCAAGAAAACATATTAATTTTGGTATGGGAGGAGCAGACAGAAAATTTCTGTGACAATTCACGATATGTTTGTGCAAATATTTCCTGAATAAAAAATTTAGACTTACCATTACGTGGTTGCTGGCCTTGGTGCCAGTAGAAGAGTTAGATGGCTGCAAGTGAAGAAGGGTTACCTAATGCGCAAAGAGTTGAAGTTTTGGTTAGAGACAAACATTATTTTCTCCCCTAACAGGTACCCATACTATTTGAACTACGTTTAATAGCTCTATCTTTCGGGCACTTCAATAGGACTTTCCCAAGGACATTCCCGGAATGTTGGCAATACCTTAAATGGAACGTTCAATGAACATAAATTAAACTTTCGATGCTACTGGGGTGTTAATCTCTGATGATCATGGTGACTCCTTCCACGACAATAGAGCCCTTCGTTTCTTCCGGTTTGTGGCAGATTTCCCGGGCACTTGTCTTTAAAAAAATATATAAATAAATAAATACTGCGAATCCCAAGCAATGTAGTGCCCTCGCACTTCATCTTCAGCAATGCCTAGAAACATCTCACTTAAAAAGAAAATGTCATGCAACTCAAGGAATACAAAGAATGACCCGACTGATCCTGTGCATTCGAGTAGGTCAGCCAGCAACAGACAATACGAATATTTATTCTCAACTGAATGTGTTCTTATTGTATCGTGGAAAATCTCTCAGTTACTCAATTGGATGAAACGTTTCCCGGATATTCTAAAACGTATTATTAATATTTTCCCCTCTCTCACCGCAGCAAGTCAAGCGATCCATCAGAACTTTCCAATAAACTGTGACTAAATTACTGTTTAAAATCAGATTTTACCCAATTGAGACACCCCAGACCTGGCGCGATATTGGACAAGTTTCTAAGCCAGACTTACGCTTAGTCCGGGTGGGCGCAACCGGCTAAAATTAGACAGACTCCAGAATTCAGACTTTGTCAAAATGAAAGTCGGACTTAATAGGGCAACAGAGGCCGTGCAACCGACTTCCAGAGAACTGAAAGAGAATGAAGGAGGAAGTGTCCGGGAGTGTGTAGAGGAGCATCCTTTTATCCATTTTCTAAGAATCCGGAGAGACATCTGGTGCTACCTGGGAGAAACATTCGAACGGACGGGAGCAGGAATCTCGTCATTCTCTTTTTTTTTCAGACCGGTTTCTCTGAAGATCGGGGGATAAATACAGTGAAAACTCGTTCATTCGAACCCTGAGAAGTCGAAATTCCGCTTATTTCGAAGTTGGATGCTTGGTCCCGGCGGAATCCCGTAGGAATCCGAGTTAAATGCTCCGTTTAACTCGAATTCGGTTATCTCGAATTTCCGGATATCTCGAATAACGTTTTCACTCCCGACAACGATTTTCTCGCGGTTAACTCGAATTCAGGGTGTGAAGGGCGGGGGAAATTATTATTGTGGGACTTTTCGATTTTTTGAATGAGACGAATGACAAGAAACCCTGTTCAGGAGGATGTTCTTTTTGTTTCTATTGTATTTTTTTCTGCTTCTCCCTCCTCCCACACAGACGCCTGTGGAGAGGATTGAACTTGAGGATCAAAACCGGAAATCTTCTGCTATAAAAAGAAGCAACCTCCAGCATTCTCTCTCTGTCTATCGCTCTTACTTCGAGCCAATCTAGTCCTATTCTATTTCTTTTACGCCAATGGTATGGAAGGAGCCCACTCGAGAGGGAAATGAAAACTCCGACGCTCGAAGAGAAGGTGCACTTGATTCGGACTGTCGAAGAAGGCTCGATGCTCTACCGCCATCTTTGAGCGATGCTAATAAAGCACTGTCGATTGTGAGAAAATTCCTCCTCTCGCGAGGGGAAGTGCCAGTCGACTTGTTCGAGGCGATTGGCATATTGGAGGACTTCCACTTCTCGGTTGCTAGTTCCTTTAAAAAGCTAATGAAGATCACTGATTACATGTAAGAAATGGGTAAAACCCAAAGAGTCCCGGATAAAAGGCGTTGTAATAAATTAATTTTGTATATGGAGAATTAAAGCTTCCCTCGAAACGCCAATTATAAGGGGCAGATCATCGCTCCTTGAAATCGGATTTTTGAGGACGGAAAAATCGTCCTCTGGTTATATCCCTTAACGTGAGGATTTTTCTAATGGAGGGGGGGGGGGGGGGGGGGGGGGGGGTGAAAAACTAGTTTTTATCAGATGTGATGCCGTTTTTTATGCATCCTATTGCCTCGAGATTTCTCATCATTTTCACGTTACACGAACGCCTTTTTCGAAACCTGACCTCAGAAGAGACCGATTCACATGCGATATTAATTCCATCTCAATTAATTCCAACAGTGCGACGTACGCCGACCCTGCTTCAAGTTCGTACACGGACAGCCGAGCAGAGCAAAACCCGTTGCGCTCCTAGCCAATTAGAATACCGATCTGCCGTTGCTCCGCAGGCACTGGGCGCTCCAATATTAGTGGCCGTGGATACAGGGTGTGGCGAAAAAGAGGGACACATTTTGAATTCAAGTATCTCTTTAATGAAGTCAAATGTTTACATGAATCAAATTGTAAAATAAAGTACGACGTTTTTGTGGACCCACTGAGTTTTGAAAATGTCACTTCGATGACCTCGGGTGGCACATTCCTGTGCTCTCAGAAGACCTGTCGGGAGCATGAGTGCTCATGCTCTCGACTGCTCTTCTGAGAACGGCGGCAGAAATCACCCGAATTTTCCTTTTTTTATGCTGTCTTTAAGTTCGTCAATCGTTCGAGGTCTGTATACGTGCACCCTTTCTTTCACGTAGCCCCTCAGAAAGTGATCTGAAGGGCTTGGAGAAAATGAGATTCTCTTCGAGCAAAGATCACCGAACGAGAACTCTGAGAAACGTCCACGACGCATGCAAGCTGCTCCTCGGCCCAGCGATCCACGTTGCAAATTCACATACTGGGTAAAATCTCCATGAACTCACTTCGTATTTATACTGTGGGATAATAAAAAATACTATGAACTATTAAATCTAATATATATATATATATATATATATATATATATATATATATA